AGTAAGTGTTCAACAAAAAATTGTTGATTTTATGAATGCTCTTGTGTTCTGATGGTCTCAGCCTTTGAAATGGCAAATGATTCTAATTCCCGAGTTTCCTCTTCTCTGAGCCAGTCAGCCTAAACTCTCCCTATTTCTTTTATTTTACAGGAGCTAGAAGAGCCTGTCCAAATTTCTCGTATTAGATATAGGAAAAGCAAGGCCCAGGCCCTAATTGGCTTTGACATGTGCAGAGATTTAAGACTAAGAGCTGCCCCAAAGTGGGACAAAGCAGGCGGAAATCCCAACAGGCAGCCTCATGGTTGGTCTTAAGCTCCAGCTTTTTGAATAAGGCAGACCTGGGTCGGAATCCCAGCTCTGCCATTTGCTGCGTAACTCTGGACACATGTTTTCATTTCTCTGAGGCTGTTTTTAACCCATTGATAGAATAGAAGTGGCCAGAAAGTTTGATCTTGTCTGGAAAGGTCTTGTCTGGAAAGACCTGGCACACTGAGAGTATTTAAAAAATGTTAAAGACAAAGTGGACAGTCGTTTGTCAGAATTTTTTAGGGATAAGGGATGTTGAAGAATGGGGTCGAAGTATTGTATTAGCTAACTATGGTTGATAAAGCTGTTGCTTTTGGTTGACAGACATGTCATCCCCCTTGCCTGGTAACACTTTCCTTTGGGGCCACCCCTCCCCCACTCTCCTTCCATGAGGTTCAGAGAGGTCGACCCCAACCTCCCCTTCCACTAGCAGCACAGAACTAAGGTCCAGCTAAGAAGAGTCACAGTGATTGGTTCAGGATTGGGGTCATAACCCAGGTTTGGCCAATCAGAATCAATGCTCCCAGAAAGAGGCCCTCTGCTGTGCCTGTCAGGCTAGCAGGATGTTGCTTTGGAACTGCTGGGAGCCATCTTGCCCTCACAAAGGGAGAACCTGCTTGAGGAGGAAGCCAGTGTAGGGCAACAGCAGAGCCCAGAGAGGCAGGTTCCTGGCAACATCATTTAATCCTCACCTGGAACCAGCCAACCCTGCTGCCTCTGAATTTTTGGATTAAAGGACCCAATGAATCTCCTTTTATGCCTAAGCTGGTTTTTAGCTAGGTTTCTGTTCATGGCAACTAAGAGTTTTTATTAATACGATGCAACCCCCAACATACACATCTAGAAAGTGGGGGAAGACCCCCCCCCAACACTGTTGGTGACCTCTGGGATTCCAGGAGGAATGGGCAGTGGGATGGGCATTCTTCATTTTATTCATGGTGTTCCTTCTGAGCACAGTACCTAGGTAGAGAATCTGAACAAAGCAGATGTTTAATTTTGGAGTTAATAAATGAATGAATAGGAGTGCCTGGGTGGCTCAGTTGTTAAGCATCTGCCTTTGGCTCAGGTCATGATCCCGGGGTCCTGGGATCGAGCCCTGTGTCGGGCTCCCTGCTCGGGGGTAGGCCTGCTTCTCTCTCTCCCACTCCCCCTGCTTGTGTTCCCTCTCTCACTGTCTCTCTCTGTGTCAAATACATAAATAAAATCTTTTTAAAAAAATGAATAAAGAAAAAAATGAATAAAGAGCTGGATGGACAGTAAATCATTTGGGAAGATAATGAGGATAAGATGAACTTTGGCTTCCTTTTCTTTATCCAGGCTGGGGGTGAGGGCAGGGATCTGATAGGACCTTCAGTCTCCTGTGAACATCCCCTCTTAGGAGATTCCTGACACTTGGTGGTTGCTTGATGGATGAACGAATACACGAATAGAAGAAAGGAAGGCAGGGCATTGACAAAGCTCCAAATGTCACAGCCTGCAAGGCCTCTGAGGTGATCTTTGACAACCACTTCAGAATTCTCTCATCTTGAAAATGGCGGTAATATTCGCACCTACTTCCATGTGGAGGTGTAAAGATTAAACGCTATCATATAAACAAAAGGGCTTAGCAAAGAATCTGACAAGCAGTCAGTGCTCAGTAAACATTATTGTTATTATGCGACCAGAGTGGCCAAAGCCAGAATGGAGATAGGCAGGGATGAGCCCTTACCTGTCACTGGAACCCAGGGAACTGGCTCTGGGCCATCCAAGGGAATACAAGTGTCTGCTGGAACCCCACATCTGCAAAAAGGAGGGAAAAAGAAAGAATTATTACTGTGACCTCTGAGATTCCAGGAGGAATGAGCCACATGGTGGTAGCCTTCATTTTCCCTATGTTGTTCCTTTGAGCACTCAGAGATCCCTGGAGTCCCCCACCACCCCACAAATATGGGCCCAGAGACCAAATTCAAACCCCCAAACTCTAAACTGAAGTCCGTGAAAACCAAGTTGTAAATCTGGGCCAAGTTGTGATCTGCACCTAAAACTAAAAGCAGCAAATTCCCAAACTTTAACTTCAGAGCTTGGTCTTAATAAGTGAGATGTCAGACCATCAGTGAAAACTGGTTTGAGATCTCTAAACTGAGATATTAGGACACCGAAACTACAACTTTAAACTCCCACAGTGAGGATGTCCTCCCAAACCTAAAAACCCTCAACTCTAATACTGAGATACTCTAGACCCCCAAACTGTCCACTTCTGAACTCCAAAGGCAACCCACTCCCAATCCCATTAAGACCATAGACCACAAACTTTAACAGAGAACCCAAACCCTAAAGAAACCCAAGCCCCCCCAAAGCAAACGACAGTCTCCCAAATTGACCTCAGATCCAAAAGCAAAGAACTCTAGATCCTCAAACCGTCACTTCAGACCATCCAATTGTGACCCCCCCAACCCTACAGTTGAGATCTCACATGTGAGTCCCAAAATTGAAGGCCCAAACTCAACGTGGGGACTCCAGGCCCTAAAATTTAATCCTCAAAGTCCCAAATTGTGACTCCAGAGCCTAACTCTCGTACCTCATACTCTATACTGAGATTGTGGACCCTGAGTCTATACTGAGGCTTCAAACCTCCCAAATCAGACCCCAGGCCCCCAAATGATACTTCAGAATTCAAAACTAAGACTTCCAGATCCTAAAATCAGGATCTTCAGATTCCAACAGGAAAACTTCCAGTCACAAACCCCAACACCTTCAGATTCCAATACTAGTTGTATCTAGATACAAAGCCAGAGATCCCACAGCTTGTGACCCCCAAAGCCCCAACACTATTCAAACAGAGCCTTCCCTGTCTCAAACTTGAGCCTGGATCCCAAAACCTAGGCCCAGCCTCAAATCCAAACTCCAGCTCAGCTGCCCCCGGCCTGCCTCGCTCCGAGCACCCCGGCACGCCTGCCTTCCTGTCCCCCTGAAACTCCCGGAGGGAGACCGCGACCACAGAGTGCTGCTCCTGAACGGACCCCAGGCTCCCCTCTGGCGAGCTGTCCCCTGCCCCGTTCCCGGACGGCCTCCAGCACCCGCCTCAGGACGTGCAAAATGGCGTGAGGCCCCCCTTCTGGTTTCACGCCAGCTCCACACTCAGGAGCCTGATCAGACAGTGTCTCGCGCCTGTCCCGGGAGGCTGGCCGCGCGCGCGAGCCCCAGGCCGGCCCCGGCCACTGCGTTCCCCACCCGGCCGTGGGGTGGGCGCGAATCCCCTTGGAATGAGGCTCCTTGCGGGTGGCCTGTGGAGGGGAGCAAAAGTGAGCGCCTGAGGCCAGGCCACGCCCCCACCAGTTCCCGCCAAGGTGTGCTGGGCGCGAGACTGGAGAGGGGAAACGGCAGGGTGCAAGTGGCCGTGCGCAAGCGCGCCTAGAGAAGGGCCCTGGCTTCTAGCTCAGCACGAGCTTGGCCTCGCGCCTCCTGACAAAGCCTTTGCTGGAGCGCGCCAAAGTGCCGACCAATCAGCCCTCAGCCAGCTGCCCGCCTTTTCAGCCGGCCACGCCCCCGCCTAGCCCCGCCCCCACCCCACCGGCTCCGGCTGACCAGGGCTTGGGGATCCTAATGAGGAGGCGGGGTCTCCCCAACTGCCAGTTCTCAGGAGGAAAGAGAGATCTGGTCAGTCTCCTTTCTGGCCCTCTTTCCCCCTTCCCTCTTCAGTGCATATCTAATGAGGGCCTACCTTGTGCCAAGGATCATGCTGGAAGTTGGCAATTTCACCGCGGGCTTCCCAGTGCAGTCGGGAAGGCTCACAGACCTTAAGAACCTAGTGAAGCAGGGTCTTTACATTAAAGAGCCATAAGTTAAGAAAAGATTCAAAGAGGAAGGCCATTGGGATTGGCCCTTAGCAGCAGGTGCCCTCACGACGATCTATGTTCCTTGATAGAGCAAATGCTCCGTTTTCGAACGCTCTTTCTCAGGGCCAATGAGGGAGGACTGGGAAATACAGCTTAATGGGAAGCGATCTACCGACTTAGTGGAGAGTAGAGGCCCTCACGCCCAACACACTTCAGTTCAAATCACTTTCTTGCTGTATTGCCGTGGAGAAGAAGTTTCATCTCTTTTTGCCTTAACTTTTACAAGTATGGGGTAATACTTGGGTTGCCTGCGGGGTGTCTGGCATAATAAATATTACACAACACTTATTTACACTGTTCTGGGTGCTCGAATGAGATACACAAAGGTGCCTGTCCTCGCGAAGCTTCTATGATGCTGAATAGTTCCTAGTTCATGGGGCTTTCCTCCCTCCTAAAGCTTAATTTTCTCATTTGTAAATTAGAGGAGGTGATAGTAAGAAAACGGGGGAAGAGATGGAAAAATGTTTGAGAAAGTACAAGGTACTGTTAATTTTTATGTTAATGAGCATACGGAAATCAATAAACTTGTCCTTCCCAACTCTTCACCCCTCACAAACGTCTCTTGGCAATTTGCTCAGTCTCTTTCCAAGGGCCCCGGGCCAAAATGGAGGAGCCTGGACTCCATCTCCCAGTGCTCCTGGCGGGGGCGCTTTCTGCGCCTGCGCTGCAAAGAGCCCTCTCTGCCTCTTGGGAATCAGAGTCGTTCTTGTGCTCAGCCCGCCCAGCTTGCTCCTTTTCCCCACCTCAAGCGTGATCACGCTGCCTTCTGGGAGGTGTAGTCCGTGGCCGCTCGGACTCCAATTCCCAGCAGGCTTCGGGGCGGGAACCCGGAAGGGGAGGCTGGAGAGGAGCGAGTGGGGGAAACCCGCGTAGCCGAGAGAGCTGCGGCGCGGGGAGATGGTGAGAACCCCGAGTCGGGGCTGGGGGCTCTTGAAAGCTGGGGCGGGGGTTCGGGACCGGGTGGCGAGAAGGATGAGGCTGGGGCTAAAAAAGGGGCTGGACGACGAGAGATCGCTTTGGGGAGGGGTTCGGGAGGAATGGGAGCCGGAGGGAGTAGTAGAAGAATGGGGGCTGGGGAGGGGTCTTGGAGGTGGAGGGGGAGTCGAGCTTTGGGATTGATTATAAGGGAACTCAGAGCTGGGGAAGGGAGTCCTGAGTTGGAGAACGGGCTGGGCGTCCCGGCAGAGGCCCTGAAGGGAGCAGTTTCAGGGCGGGTAGCCTGGGGGATGCGGAAAGGAATGGGGGTCAGGGCTAGATGAATGAGGGGGTCTGTAGGCTCCGACGTTGAGATCAGCTGTGGATGCAGTTGGTTAGGGCCTCCAGATCATATTGGGGGCAGGAGGGCAAGCTGAGGTCGTGGGAGAGAGAAATCAATGGTAGAGTGGTGTGTTGGTTAGGCTGCTGTACTGAGGGTGGGGTGGGGAGCGTGGCTTAAGGCGCCTGGATGAGAGATAGTTTGTGCCTACACCAGCCAGAGACTCCCGAGAAACTGGACAGTCACAGAACTGTAGGATAAGATGGCCAGAAGGGGCCTTAGAGAGAACCTTTTGCACTCTCATTTCTCTAGTAGGATCTCGAAAAGTGTAGTGCGTTCTCTGTGTTTTGGCAGTCCAGCATTCAGATCAATTAATCTGTCTCTCCTTTGTGACCTGGGCAAGTCTCCCTTCTCTGAAACTTTGTGCCCTTATCTGTTGTGGGGACAGCTTGCCACTGAGAAGAGGGGAGGCTCCTGAACGTTGTTACCCTCCCTTGCAGGAAGTCCGTGGTAGGTCTTGGAGCTATTGGTGGGAAGTTCCCCATCCCAGGAATGTGACTGGGTCACAGGTGCTAATGGATTCGCTTCTTATCAGTCCAACCCCAGAGGCGTTTTTCTCAAAAACCTGCTACTGATCTAGGCACACCCCAGCTAAGAAGCAGGCAGGGGCTCCCCACAGTGGATTACAGCTAACACTTACTCTTTGGGAAGTGCCTGGCCCTTTTCTTAACTCTGCCAGCATGTTAACTCATTTAATTCTGACAACACCCCTAAGGTGTAGGTGGGGTTATCTCCATTCTATCCAAAGGAAGCAGAGCCCCAGAGAATTTAAGCAACTTTCCCAGGGTCATCCAGTATTAAATGGTTAGATTCAGGATTCCAACCTAGGCATAGCAGCCCAGAATCTGCTTTCACCACTGTGATTTTTGCCTCCTCTCCTTGTACTGAAATACAGTGTTAAGAGAAGGGCGGGGACTCCGGAACAGAAGCAGTCTTCAGTTGGAATTTTAGCCCTGCCATTGTCGTGTGACCTTGGGCAAGTCTTTGGGCTTCTCCTTTGCTATAAAATGGGCTCAGTAACCCCGGGAATGTTAGAGGGTTCAGGGAGGTAAGCACGTAAAGTTCTTGGAGTAAGTGCTTAATACACACGAATTGTCATTTTTTTTTAACAGAGTGGGAAACAGACTTGAGAGAGAACGCAGAAGACAGGGACCACCAGTGAGGGAGACATCAGTCAGGCTCCCTCCTTTTCCTTCTCCCGCAGTCTGCCCCCATATCTGCTTTTTCTTGTTTCCCACCCTCTACCCGTGGGGTTCCAAGTCCGAGGGTGACTCCCCAATGGGGTGCTCAGAAACTCAATCTGTCCCCATCTCCATCTCCATTTTGATCCCCAGCCAGATATAAATAATTCACTTGTCAATTCCTAGCCTGGCCCAACTCCAGGTATTTCAGTGAATAGGAAATATTTCTGACAACTGTGTTTTTTCTCCCTCCAACCTTTTTGGTTATTCCAGCCTCCCTGGGCACTTGGGCAACTTTGTAATTCATCTTGAAACACTTTGGTTCATTTGTTGTGAGGCTTCCTGAGTTTATCACAGAAATTCTCTGGCGGTGATAGGAAAGCTTATGGTTAAAAGCACTGGCCTCAGATAGGCTCGGGTTCCAATCCCTACTTCTGCTGCTGTGTGTCCTTGGCCAAGCTGTGTTCCCTCTCTGGCCCTGGAGTTCTCTTGTGCAAAATGGGGCCGCTTTCCAACCATGGGGCGGTTGTAAAGAGTTGATGAGGTAGCACTTGTAAAATGTGTAGTGCCTACAAAACTCTGTGTGTCTGAGGTCTTTTTATGGTTTTTATTTTCTTAAGAAAAACCCTGGAGCATGTGCTTTGGGACCAGAACTCCCATATTTGAATCCTGGCTCCGTTGCATGCTAGCTGTTTGACTCTAGGCAAGTCATTTAACCCTCTGGACCTCAGTTTCCTCTTCTGGAAAATGGGGGTGTGTTCCTCGAGTGGTCTGCGATGTTAGAGCGCCTGCTGTGTGCAGACTGACACCCTGCCCTTGGGGAGCTTGTTGTCGTTGCAAGGCAGGTGGCATCGGGACTCATTTTTCCATTTTTCGGGTTCGGGTTTTCTCTTCCTGATTCATTTGCAGCCCCTTATGCTAGCTTTGCCTGCTTCTCGTTGCGTCATTAACTTCAGGGGTCTTTAACACTTTGTCTTCAGCACTCGGTGAATCACCTGAAAACCTCTTGGTTTGGGGCAGAGTTGGCCAGTCTCTCACTCATCCCTGTGCCTGTATGTCACAGCTGGGTCCCCTGAGGTCATGTGACACCCCCCCGCCCCCGTTCCTCTATTTGTCTGTCTTAGAAAATGTGTCCGCTTTCCAAGTCATTTTGCCTTTCCTTAAAATCTTTCATGTGTTTCCAGCCTGTGCTTGTCCGAAGCTTACTCATACAACATGATATTTTTACCATTTCTAATGGGGGTATTTCTAGCAGCTCTGCCACTGCTGTCTGATTCCTAAAACCGCAAGTTTTCTGAAAGGCTTGGCTTGTCACCTGCTCCGTGATGCCATCCTGACCCCTCAATGAAGATGAGAACCCCCACTTCCACTCCCGGTCCTCTTAACTTGGTACATTCGTTTCCCCATAACACTTGCCACCTTGGAACTCACTCTATTTTTACTGTCCTGTCTCCAATTAGGATGTCAGCCCCGCAAAGGCGAGGATTTCTGTTTCCTTCTTTTCACCAACCCCCTGTCACCCCTCCCCCAACCCCCGCCGTGCCCGGAACAAGGGCCTGGCGCACAGTAGCTGCTCTGTAAATATCTGTTTAATAGTTGAGACCCAGTACGCAACAATAACAAAGGAATGACCATGCTCTGACTATCATGAGGGACCAGGGTCAGTTTCCTTCCAGAATATGAAGTGAAGAGGGACGAAGTCTTTGGTTTAGTCAGTGATTTCCAGACTCACCTTCCCTTAATAAGCCCAGAGCCAGAATACTGAGCCTCTTCTTGGTACCTAGCTGACATTGAGCACTCTGCTGGGTTGATCTCTGACTCATCAGGCAGCCCGTGGGTGGGTACTGTTATGATCTACATTTTATAGTGGAGGAAACTGAGGCACCAAGGGTTAAGCACCCTACCTACGGATGCACCCCCCAAAAGTGGGAAAGCTGGGGTGTCTGCAGGCCCTGCCTGGATTCTGTCTGCATCCCGGATCTCTAGATCTGAGGATTCCTGCTGTTAGAGAGAGCTGTTGGAAAGGAAGATTTGAAGAGGAAGAGAGAGGGCGGCCAAAAATCCAAGGGAGGGATGAATCAAGATCGTGGACCAAGTGGGGATAGGGGCGGGGCTCAAGAGGGTGGGGGTTAGAAGGAGCAGGGCCAGGAACAGAGCCCTGGTATCCTGCCACCGATTCCTGTGTGGCCATGACCACAGACCAGTGCATTCCCTGAGCACCTGTTCTGTGCCCAGCCTGTGCTGGCTTGACCCTGACTGTGGGATGGAGGCGAGGGGAACCAGGCATCTACTTTTTATTCTCTATCTTCTTTCTTTGCTTTATTCTGCTATGGACATTGTTTCCAACTTCTTTTTTTTTTTTAAGATTTTATTTATTTGGGGTGCCTAGGTGGCTCAGAGGGTTAAAGCCTCTGCCTTCATCTCGGGTCATGATCCTAGGGTCCTGGGATCGAGCCCCACATTGGGCTTTCTGCTCAGCAGGGAGCCTGCTTCCTCCTCTCTCTCTGCCTGCCTCTCTGCCTACTGGTGATCTCTCTCTCTCTCTCTCAAGTAAATAAATAAATAAAAATATTTTTAAGAAAAAGATTTCATTTACTTATTTGAGAGAGAGAGAGAGAGAGAGAGAGAGCATGTGAGAACGGGGGAGGGGCAGAAGGAGAGAGAGAATCCCAGGCAGACTCTATCTCAGGACCCTGAGATCCTGAGCCAAAATCAAGAGTCAGAAACTCAGACAGCTGAGCCACCCAGGCGCCCTTGGTTCTACCTTCTTAGGGTGCATACTTAACTTGTTCATTGTTAGCCTCTCTTTTTTCTTTATGCATCTGTGGAAACAGGTTCTCCCTAGACCTACTGCAGGCTGTGCTCCCAGGCTCTCCCTTTACCTGCATCTGGGGATTCTTTTTTTTTTTTTTTAAGATTTTATTTACTTATTTGACAGACAGAGATCACAAGTAGGCAGAGAGAGAAGGGGAAGCAAGCTCCCCGCCGAGCAGAGAGCTCGATGCAGGGCTTGATCCCAGGACTCTGAGATCATGACCTGAGCTGAAGGCAGAGGCTTGACCCACTGAGCCCCCCAGGCGCCCCTGGGGATTCCTTTTGCCAGTCTTCTGGGCTAGACTATTCTCTTTGATCTGATAGCTCCCTTTCTCTTCACTCACCGCTCCATTCTGGTGAAGCGGATCCTCCAGTAGCTTCCCGAGAAGGATTCCCGGACATGTATTCTTGTTTTCACAAACTCGAGCCTCCAACAGAAAGGTTTTACGCAGGGGAGATGTGGTCTGATTTATGTTTGGAGCCATCTCTCTGGCTACCATGGAAAGGATGCGGCTTGGAGAGCTGAACTAGGCCAGTGAGCCAAGTTCGGAGGCTGGAGCAGCTGTGCCTTTGAGGAGAGGTCCCAGCCT